CAGCCACTTCAACATGCGGACAACAGGAAAAACACCTATCAGTAAAAGGAAGTTACGTTATCAGCGTCCCAGATGGATGTAAATTAAGATACAACTCAACAACCCTTCAGAGCTACCAGAATCCTGAATTTAAGAAACAGACGATCCAAACACCGAAATTAGAAATTTCATCAACTCAAAGAAGAAATCTGGAAACAAGAACTGCTACAATTCGAGACAGTCGACTTGATAGACATCGACCCAATTTACCACAGAAAGCACGAGATACAACAGGATCTCCAAAAAGAGGACCACTAATATTTGGACAATTTCAATCTATATCTTTTTAATTATTATTATTACAGTAATCTTTTTCATTTGGCACAAGTGTATCAGGCCCCGAATTCATAGATAACGTTCCCGATGATTGTCAGGTCCACCATCGGAAAACTTTTGAAAATTCGATATCGCAGGCTGCCCCAATTTTCAATCTAACGAAGGAGATGTTATGGACAATCATTCTGCAAACCTATATCCTCCCACGTGTAAGATGCGCTTCCACACTTGCATCAATATCAACATGAGAACTCCAATTCTGCAGTTTTCCTCCTTATATAAGAAATCGAAGAAGCTCCGCCCATAAATTTTAGTAATATCCGTCAAACTGTTAACCGGTCTCTCTCTCCTAATAAATTACAATCTTTAAGTGAATAATTGTGTATTATAAAATAATATTGTGAAGTGTGAATAATAATCAATGATTAATATCCAATAATAAAAAATATACATATACTCGTATAAACTCTTTTCAAAAATAAAGTAACTGAACAAAAATACCTAACTAGTTTTTTAATTAAATATTTCGATACGTGTTATAAAAAGTATTGACATTATTTACGAATCGGACGATCAATCTTATTTTGAGTTACAGCAGGACATGGCATGCAACATGTAGTTGGCGTCACTGATTTGGAAATGACATTATGTCAATCTTATCAGTCCTAAACATACTTGTTCGCCAGACCAGCCTGCCATTTGACAGGACGTTGTTTTGATTATCCGCCGATCGTATGTGGATAGCTGAATAAGTTTATCTTTAACGATTATTGTGAAGGGTGAGCAGCTGACCTCAGCTTTGTGCTGCTGTTAAATGCAGAGGAAACGTTTCTGCAAGAGTGAAACTGTTGAGCTGCTTTGAAAGGAAATAATTCACAATGAAAATAATAATAATAAGTCTTTTTCTAGAGAGACCGATTTAAATGAAGCAAAAGTAAAACAAATGTCTCAACAGTTTGTCGAAAATTTTTTGTATGTCCAAGGCATACAACGGACGTTCAACTGAAAAAGTCATCAAGTTGGTTTTTTTTTCTAAGAAAACGTAGCGATAAGCGCATGCATTTTATTAATCCATGCTGTTGTATGTATTTGATATAAAGCGTTACTTTATTATATAAAAAATTGCGGTTAAGTTGCACCATTCCGTCATTGATTAACTTTTTGAACTCACCACCTTTACAGTTTTCAATAACTGTCATTAAAACAGCGTTTTTAGCAACTGACTAAAACATTCACAAAATTAATCAACCGACGCTTCATAAAGTACGATATAGTAATCCAAATATCGAGCCAACAATAGAAATGTACAAAAAAATCCGCGAAAAATTCAAAATTTGGCCTTGAGCTGTAATCGTCACTAAATGGAACACTACAGCGTGTTTTTTTTTTGTCGTTGTTTAATTGGCGGCATGCGTTCAAATGCAGTGTGGTGACCCCACTTAATTGAAAATGCAAAATATTAACAACAAATTGTTTATTCCTCCATTATGGAAAAGGAAAAGTTGTGAATAAACGGACTTACTTCTCAGCTACAAAAAACCCTCTCTAGCTTTCAAAAATGAAATCAAATGTTACAAATCGACACAAATATTTAAACAAACTGACAGAGAAATCGCCGGAGTGGAATTTGAAAAACAAAGAAGACACCACAACAAATTGAACACCTTAAAAAAAGAAAAAATGAACCTAAAAAGGAACCAAAAGGAATAACAGAAAGAGAATAAAATATTCCATAAGAGACTGGTGAATTTATCAGAAGTTGAACTATCACAAGGTGAAAAATACTTACTAGAAAAAGACTCAAAATAGCCCATAAAAGATACAGAACAAAGATCATTGGCCACAGATGCCGACATGATTATAGAAAAGATAAATAACTCTGGCAACAAACCGAAGCCAGAACAGAGTGTGCAGAAGCAAAAAAAAGAAGCCAAAAAGCGGTCAAAATTTAGGTACATAAACAAAGAACGAAAAATAATAATACAATTAAAAAAGAAAATAAAGAACAAGATCTAACTATAGGAAAAGCCGCTAAAGGTAATATTATCGTAGTGATGAAAAGAATGGATTACACAGAAAAAGTAGAAGAATTTTAAACAACACAAAAATTCAAAAAATCAAAAAGAATCGACTTAATACATACAACACAAAATTAAAGGATACCATTAAAAAGTGCGATGGAACCATATCTGAATTAGAAAGAAAAAGTACCTAAAGAGAACAACCCAATTAAAGCAATTAGACCTGTAGTATATTATTAAAAATGTCACAAACTTCAAACCAAAATACACTGTGAAAAATTCAAAAGAAGTAATTGAAAAATTAAAGAAATACAAGGACAAAAACCAAGTCATATCATTCGACGTGAAAAATCTTTTTACGAGCATTCCAAAGGACCAAACAATCGATCTAGCCAATCAGATCATAGATAAATCAGATAAACCAAATAAAATAAAAGAAGACATATCAACAAATTGGATAAAAATATCGAATTCACATCAGAGATTGAAAAAGAACGTAGAATCAATTTCTTAGACTTGACGATTCAAAGAAATGAGGAAGATTTAGAATTCAAATTATCAGAAAACCGACACAAATAGATACCGCAATAGATAAAAACGATGACATGATATTTAAATCAAATATTTGGATATCACAAATTTAAACACATAAGTAAAAAGAGAAAAATCATCACTAAAGTAACTGGATGGTAACAAAAATTTAACCCAGCGTGAGGACGTGTAGTGAGAGCGGCACGAAGGGCATCTGCTCGTGAAGGTCTTTCTCCCCTAACTACAGCTACAATACGCGGGGCGTTTAAATACTCGCCGTTCTGAGTCCAACTTTAGTTCAATATTCACGTGAAAATGACAACAGAAATCAGAAATCTCAATTTGAATGTGTGGTCTCGTCACACAATATCCCGTGCGTTTTATCAGTTAAAATTAAAATCTCCTGAATTTTGACGATACCGCAATGAGTATTATGTGTAATTACAAGGAAGAAAACAGCAAAATTTAATTCCGCTACACTCTAATAAAAAGAATTTGCATGATGACAAATTATGCATTAATTCAAGTTTAATGTTCAAATTAAAAAGAGTATCACATACAATCGCCTACAATCAAAGCACATAATTATGAAATAAACACAACAGGCACAAATCAACATAATGATAATAATTGGAAAATAATTGTCTAAATTCAAACAGTAAGAAAATATTGAAGTGCAAATTCCTCTCGTTTTCGAGCCCACGATGATATTAATTTAACAGATAATAATTTTCAAGGTCCTTTCTCTCAGAATGGATCAACGTAGATTAGTTTAATAGATGCCGCAAATGAATTATGTATTTTAAATCTCGAGTGAGAAGTTATAGAACATGGATAATGTAATAACTAAAAAAAAATCCAGAATTTTAGATACATATATCTTTAATTCAAACGATTAAAATCATAACATGAACTGTGAATGAAGTTTAAAAGAAGTAAATAAAGTGGGTGTCACAAAAAACACTAGTAAAGCATGTGACAAAATTTATCAACGAGCACAAATTGGTTCTTAGTTAATAGTTCGTTGTTAAAAAACATCTGTAAATTTTACTCCTACAATTTAAGTAAACAGACAATAAAATTAATAATATTCAACTTCCTGACACAAAACAAATACCGGATCCATATGGCAAATTATTACTCAATATTTCCCGGTTGACGTCATCAGTTTTTCTCTTTCCAGGACTTTTAACCAGTGTCTAGACTTTTGTTGTTTTTACACAAAGTAATCGGATCAATAGTTTCTCAAATTAGTTTACGTTTTGTCTTCTGCACAATACAAAACTCTAATAAAACACTAAATTAGAATAGAATTTTAAATTAGTTCCGCAAGTAATGCCTAGAAAAGTTACAAATGAAAAGTAGATGGTGCAAGAAACTAAACGGAATATTTAATAACGTAATGAAAAATACTTTCTAGCTTATGATGCAAATAGGTACGAAATGTCCCTGACTGCATACTTTTAATTCTCAATGTAAATGCTAATATGTTCAGACCAGTATCTTGTGTACGGTCACGATAACTATTAACAGTACGTCGTTTATTGTGATAAGATAACATTTGCAAAGTAGCATGCGTGACACAAATTGTATTGAATTCCGATAAGAATTAATGTGGTACATTGAGGATGTTAAAAATTTCAATTAAACAAGTAAATCGGAATTGTAAAGTTTGTTTATATTTAATCTTCACGGTAGTTTGAACTCGTTTTTAAGAAAATTGTAGATGCAGATTTTTACTATTCCGAGAGAACATGGTGGTGGCCATAAAAACCGTATAGTAGTGTTTAATAAGAATATGGTAGGTAATGATTGTTTAATATACATTATTAACAATAAATGCCAGTACGTTCAGGTTTTCTATACCTCTCATCATAAATATGAATGAACCTTGGGCGTTAGTACCCCCCGTAACATACTATCGAACTAAACACTTCCACTGCGCTTCTTTTATTTTATTATTGAACTCCACTAAATTGGTACCTCTTTATCAGTTTATCTTGTTACTCCAATCTAGGAGATAATGTTAGGTATCCCAAATTATTTACATCGTTTATGTACCATGTTTCAGCAGATAAGTGCCCAGTTGATAAGCAGCGCGTTCTGTATTCCACACAAGAACGAACGGTACGAACAAAGTCGGCGGTAACTGTTGAAAATCTGACGGCGACTTTTCATTAATATGCGTCCTTGTTGACGTAGTCGTACTCGTATTCTAACTTGTTTATTGCCATCATGTTGCAAGTTGTAAACTTCAGTAGTTTTAACAATGTCCGCCAATAGATCGGTCGACGGTGCGCTACTTTCAGTTTTTGTGAACCCTGTAATTTAAGAAGTCTCGTTATTTGTCTACAAATTTGTGAAGTTTGTTTATGTGTTGTAAACAGTGGCAGTGACTGTGTGTTCATGTACTAAAAAAAGGTGTTAAAGAAGTTAAAGAAGCGACTTGTTGACAGTCCAACAACTAGATGAGATGTTAATACAGAATTTAAAAAAATGGCAAAGACGGGATTAAGGCGACTCAAATATAAGTCGACAATTAATTCAACTTCATGAATTAAATTAAGTCACAACCTTAAAAATATGCAGGTAGCATAAAAATAAAATTACTGTCCAAAGGTCATTTTTACGGTCTGTGTTAATTACAAAACCAGTCCTCACAAATTTCTTCAGTCTTTGGAGACATTTAGATGATGTCAGACTCACTTAGGTAAAACTGTGCGTCACTGTAAACGCAAAATTTTTTATTAATCACCTTATTACCGCACGATAATCAAATCATTTTTGTTTACATTTTATATTTGGTTAAACTAGCAATATATGTAAATACTCGTATCTTGGGAACACAAACCGGTTACGCAACTTAAAAAAATTAAAAATATCTGTTATTATTTAGGTTTTTGTAAATAGTTCACAGCCGAACCTTTTTTAGCCAGAACGTAACATAAAGTCATTCTAAGCAGGTAAATTTAATATTTCCAGTGATTCCAATTCCGGTTGCGCAAGTATAGAAAGAAACCATTAATTTGAAATTTTTAAATATAACTTCTGCATAACAGTTACGTAAATGCCACGGGCAAGCTTTGTCAGATTTATACCATCTTTGAACGCTCAATAATGGTCACTTTTAATTTTCATTTTAAAATTTCTCACTGTTTACCTTTACCTTTTGTATCAGAACACCAACAAGGTTAAACACCGTGAAGTATATGATTATTTAATTGCTGCAATCTGATGTGATTTTTTAAGATCATTACCTAGTGTAGAAATACGACCTCGGTATTGGACAAGGTAATATTTATAGTCAACAGATCGTTTCTCCACTAGATTATAATAATGGGTATGTTGTCAACCTTTCCACCTTTTTGTGAAGTAGGTCAACTGCACCATTAGCTAATCTGCAACAATAATGCCGTTTTCCGATTCCGCGCTTCACCAAGCTTGAAATTACGCGCATATGAGCTACGACACACAACACGATTTTTTGGAATTCAACTTCGTTACGCCATTAGTACGTATTTTTTGAAAACTGACGTTAAATGGTTATTGAACAACGTGTTACTTTTGTATACTGAAAGAATTAAATTAGTGAAAAATAAGATGCCAGGTAACCAATTAAGTGTGCAGTACTGATCAGACCAAAAAGTAATTAGCACAGTAGTTTAGTAAGTGTATCTAACTTTAAATCTAAAACCATATAAGATTAGAAGACGCCCAGCGATCTACCTGGTTTTAGGAAAAAATACTTCTAAAATTTAATGATTTTTCAAGTTAAGCAAAAATATACCGAGCCTTGGGGTTTTAGAAATTTTGTACTACTTACAGGGCAAAGAAAGCAGTAGATACTTTTGCAGTAATAAATGCAACAGTAACATCAGTTAACAATTCCCTAATCAATTTTAATAATTCAAATCAAGAAAAATTGTAAATTATAACAGTCGATACAGGTAATATACTGGATGTCCCACATAAAAATCCCGGGCGCTTATTTCATTTTCACTCAATAAGAAAGTTAAATTTATAAATATAAAAAAATGTCAGTTTGAAATAATAGCACTTATTTTACAAACAAATAGTAATATATGTTTCAAAAACAGTCATTTAAGCACAAATTCGAACTGTCATTCTTACACTAAATACAAAAACTTCCTATTAGTTCACAACTTAATACAATTTAATGCGCTACAGATGCACACACATTAATCATCTACAAGAATATATTTAAAAATATGTACTAATGAAGCTTCTCCCTTCAAGCTAGAAACAATGGCGTTTACAGAATTCCAATATTTCCATCCATTAGCAAGATATGAAGTCGCGGAGTTTTATTTAGAACAGGATGTATAGGCATCGTCACAGAAAAATAATATTTGCAGAAAAATCGTATTTTATTAAGAAAACTAGACCTGTCTGATTGTGCTTAAATGATTAAGAAACTTATGTAGATCTAATCAACTTTGGACATTTTTTTCCTGTCTCAGACTGATTTAATTTTTTTCGTCTGAGAAAATGAGAGCATTAGATGAAATTTATGTGTATAAACCTGTTTTGATTTGATGAAAATGTTTATTTGAAAAAAAGTAATACTGTCTTCGATTGATTAGACCTTAGATTTGAACCCCATATTTCCATTTTTAGTTTATTACAGTTATGTAATTAATGAGTGAGCTCTAAAGGGGTACGAAATGTGGATGTCTCTAAAACGATACGTCAGTATTAGAAAGAACGGACAGAGACTAAGAGTAGACTAAAGTGAGCTTCCGCCTTCAAGTTAAAAAGAATGGCGTTTACAAAATTTGTTACCTTTAATTTCAGTCAATTCTACAGATTGATTTGTTGTCAAAATACACCTCTACAAAAAAATGTGTAGCTCAATGGTCAACCTTCGCCTCGCAAAAGAAATTTTGTTTCCATTCACTAAGATTTTAGTTGCTGTATCTTGAACCTTAGAACGTATATAAAATTTTACAGCATCTCCTGTCTAACTTCATCCAGATAAGACATACGATTTTTTTTTTCATTTTTTAATAAGTGGATTCCTCCTATACATGAACAATTTGTTATTATAAAGTAAAATAAAATCATACGAATGACCAAACATAAGATTTTCATTTTTACGAACTCTTGTTGTTTCATTTTTATTAAATACCGTGAATTTGCCACTTCTATTAATTTAAGTTAAATAATTACCCAGTTTGACAACAATTTTAAGTGTTTTTATGATAAGTGCCATCATGGATTTTACGCAATTAAAATTGGCAAATAGAGCAAAAAATAAGAGCAGGTCTTATTAATTAAGTTGTGGATCTATATATTAATGGAAAAAAATTGGTCCAAAGTTATTTAGCAGATCATTTTAATATTTATTCAAACAAATTTAATGTCTTAGAAAAAATATGTGGGGGATGGGATTTGAACTCACGCCTGCAGAGTTCCTGATGCTCAAATTCAACGCCTCAGATTACGCAGCCACGGCTCACTTGCCTTTTACGTGTTCGAGATATCCGTTACATGAAACACGCGCCAAATATTGCACGAACATTGTAAATTAATTATGATTAAAAATCAAGGCGGATTCATAAACCACAAATACAGGAGGAATATAAAATTTAAATAATATTTAATATACAAAATTTTAAGGTGACGTCATCAAAGTGTTACCGGAGATAATTGGTCCAGTAGTTTTGGAGATAATCTATCAAACAAATATCGACCCAAACGGCAGACAGACTAGACGGAAAAGAAGACCCATGGTGTCATACTCTAGGGGTCATGAAATATCCAACGTCGGATGGACCCTATTACAATACTTGCTTAGCTTTCGATCAAGAAGTAAAAATTTTACTAAACTTATGTAGATTAAATTTTTCTCGGACTTGAAATCCAGTCAATGAAACAAGTCCAATTTTTTTCCATTAATTATAAAATCTGATTGTGATTTTTTTTGTGATATCAGCTAATAATTACAAGAAAAATAGGCATGGATTTTGCAACTGCAAGTCAAGAAGTCTGATATGCATATATATGTTTCAACGAGTTTTTCTTAATAAAAATCTTCTAATAAGGGATAAATATGTCATTTTAGATAAATAAAGTATAAAGAGAATAATAACGGTGTTCCTATAAAAATGAGATAAACCACTTTTGATTTAATCAATAAAATATATTACCCCAGATATTAATTTTTTAAAACCTCCTCTATTAGTAAACATAAGTTAAATAGCGATTTCTCATGTTCAAGAACCGTATCATATTTATGGACTTACAAATTTTAAGATTATATTTATGAGGATGATCAGACTAATTCTAATGTCACCGGTTTGCTGTCTATGTTCTAAAAGAAAACAAAATTCTGGGAAAATCAGTCCAGTAGTTTTGAAAATTATGTATCAACAGACAGAACCGAATGACCTATTTTTTTATTATTTATTACTTCTTGTATACACCACTTAGTAATCGAAAAATATAGTTTTAAAGTATGTATTATATTTGTACTTACATAAAAAATATATAAATAATTTGAACCCACACCGTTCCAAAATATTTCTGAAACTTCAAGCTTCTATTCACATTATATAGAACATAATACATATATGTATTTCATTTGTGTATCAAGTGCATTTAGCCTTACCCACTCTTTTACGCAGCCAACTCTAATTCCATTTTTTTTTCAGACATCCAATAGGTGAATTACAAAATTTGAAAATGTTTGCCAGTTTGTCATATACAATAATTATTGTAATTAAATTAAACGAATAGCAAAAACATTATTAATAAAAGTATATAAAAAATAGATCAAAAAATATAGTCGCCGGGACCTATATTGTCTCACACCATTACTTAATATTGAGCAACATTATCGCAACTACAATTCGCTCACAACAATGTAAGTCCGTGTTATTATTTTAAATTACTGCCAATGTCAGTTAAGGTTAATCGATTGCTGATCCCATCAGAATTCATTACAATAATTGAAAACTGAGAACATCGTATTAAAATAAATTTTTGTCATCAATACGCCTTTCTGACGTAACTACAAGAAACTCTGCCCATCATTACTTCAGAAAAATCACCATATAACAACACACCCACGTAAAACATGACGATATCAAACCTGTGGGCATCAGCAAGGGCAAATAAAACGCTTGCAACCTGAAATTCAGATATATTGATGCTTGTAGGCCTTTTTTTTCTCTTTATCTGTAGATATGCGGAACGGCTGTAATGTCGTGAAATCCACACACATTCATCGATTTCTCAGAATGGTAGACATATGCTTGGTTTATGGTGATTGTAATAGTATACATTACGATATTACACCACGTAGTGTATAATAAATGTTGCATAGTTCTCATAGTGCTTTAAATTGTTTCGGGTTTATTCATAACAGACTGCATAAATCTGGTACAGCAAAATGTACT